AAGAGTACATTAGCTAGATCCTTACCCTTGTCCCAAGCCCCAGGGGTTACCTTAATATCTTTCTAAAACAGCTACATTTGAAACTTTCATTTGGTTAAGTTTAAGATAGTCCATTGTCGTGGGCATTGTCTGATCATTATAGGAACCATATCTTTAGATCAAACTGGAACATACAGGATCCACCATTTTTAAAACTTTAATGATGCTAATTTCTGTGATTCCTCCTAGTACATTGTGTTGCTTCTAATTTATTCTTGGTCAGGGTTGGGAAGACAGGTTTAGGAATTTAAATCTGGTTTTCTTAAAATTTTGTCTCTTATTTCATAGGTCAGGAAACCAATATGATAGTTATGACAGCTTCTATGTATATACATCTCAAATACACATCCAAATATATCCAGGGTTTCATTGAACTCACTGTGAGGTAGACTTGGGCTAGAATTTTGCATGCATTAAATTCAAGCCATACACTTCAAGTTGGAGGGTTATAATGGTGTCATGGCTTTCCTAGTGTGTTGACTCAAATCCTACATCCTTTTGTCCTTGAAAGGTCTTGGTAATTTTTTTCCACAGTGCAGCATTATTCTGGTAAATCCCATCATGACCCCTTTTGTGAAGTAGTAGAGGAACTTACTGAGTTTCATGAATGGGACCCAATATACATTTGATTAATGGACTTTGATTTTGTGAAACGGTTGACATCTGAACTAAAGGAATGCAAGAGATTTTCTATTTTTCTAGAATCTAGTTTTAGCTTCAGACTGTCAGATTTAATTTTTTCTCATAATAAAAATCAAAGATACCAACCCTTTTTCTCTGTCCATCTGTTACACGTGACTAGGAGCATAATGATGTTAGTAATCACCAGAGATCTCAGTGGATCTAGGCTCTCTGGTTGTCCTCCTGAATGATTACTTGTGAAGGTCATTAAATCTACCTTGCCTTTGATGGTAAAATGTGACTACATGACCTGTACCTTCCCAGAGTCCCCTCATTCTCATTAAAAAAAATAAGAGACCCAGAATAGCTAAAGCAATGCTAAGCAGGAAGTGTGAATCAGGCGGTATAGCGATACCAGACTTCAAACTATACTACAGAGCAATAGTAACAAAAACAGCATGGTACTGGCACCAAAACAGGCTGGGAGACTATTGGTACAGAATAGAGGACACAGAGACTAACCCACAAAATTACAACTACCTTATATTAGACAAAGGAGCTAAAAGCATGCAATGGAGAAAGGATAGCATCTTCAACAAATGGTGCTGGGAAAACTGGAAATCCATATGCAACAAAATGAAATTGAATCCCTGTCTCTCACCATGCACAAAAGTTAACTCAAAATGGATGAAGCATCTGGGAATCAAACCAGAGACTCTATGTTTAATAGAAGAAAAAGTTGGCTCTAACTTCCATCACGTGAGGTTAGGCCCCAATTTCCTTAATAAGACACCTATAGCACAAGAATTAAAACCAAGAATCAACAAATGGGATGAACTCAAACTAAAAAGTTTTTTTTTTTTTTTTCTCACAAGAGAAATAATATGTGAGATGAATAGGGAGCCTACATCCTGGGAACAATTTTTTACGCCTCACACATCAGATAGATCTCTAATCTCTAGGGTATACAAAGAACTCAAAAAGTTAAACACCAAAAAAACAAACAACCCAGTCAACAAATGGGCCAAGGACCTGAACAGACACTTCTCAGAAGAGGATATACAATCAATCAACAAGTACATGAAAGAATGCTCACCATTTCTATCAATCAGAGAAATGCAAATTAAAACTACTCTAAGATACCATCTCACTCCAGTAAGAATGGCAGCCATTATGAAGTCAAACAACAACAAGTGCTGGCGAGAATGCAGGGGAAAAGATGGAAGGAGATCCTCATTCATCATTATACAAAATACTGTATGAAGATGTGAGGAAAAAAAAAAGAATAGCATCATCCTAGATTGGGTAGAGAGAAGTGATGGGAGGGGAGGGGAGGGGAGGGGGGAAAGGAAGTATAGTAGAATGAAACAGACGTTATTATTACTGTGTGTATATTTGTGACTGCATGACCAATGTGATTCTGCAACCTGTGCACTCAGAAAAATGAGAAATTATATCCCATCTGATTCAAATGTATGATATGTCAAGGTCATTGTACTGTCATGTGTAACTAATTAAAACAAATAAAAAATGGGGAGCCATATTCTGCAGTAGAATCTCCCACTGTCAATTTTAGACTATTAAGGACTGTTACTTCTGAGCCTCTCGGAAATTCCATGGTGTTTTTTCTTTTTCTTTTTTGTAGTACTGGAGATTGAACCTGGCTTTGTACATGCAAAGCATCAGCAGTCAATCACTGCCTCTTTTAACATTTCCTTTCTTATTGCTGCAATAAAGTGAGTATCCTCTGGGTACTATTTGAAGGAATTTTTCAGTTTCACATAATAAATCCTCTATAGTGTCTTACCCAAATGAGCTTATAACCCCTTCTTCAATATTCTATCATGGTCATTTCAGAATTTCAGCCTTATTCAGAAATCCTTGCTTCTGGTATCCTTGTCAGAATAGTAAAACCTTAGTCATGGGAGAATCTTTCCAAATCAAAGACCACTCCTCTATTCAGCTTATATTCTTCCCACCTTGTTCTAAACCTTTAAAATCTACAAATACTTGAATCTTCCTAATGTATAATGCAGGGAAAACCAGTATGTCCTGATGTGTACTGGCTTTCTCTTTTGCCCTACAAGAGAGAAAGGCAGTCCCTCCCTCTCAGGCTCAGTCCCTCTCAGTCTCTCTTGGGCTGTAAGAGATAATGATGGGTCAGGAGGCAATGGACATGGGAGACAAATATTGAGGTGGACACATCTTTTAAGTGTCCCATTCCCTAATTTCAAATAGGAGACATGTTGAGGCCATGAATTTTGTCTCCTTTACTTCCACACTAAGAAGTAAAACTGTGCCTTTTTTTTTTAGCACAGTTGAACCAGCTGCTGCAAAAGATAGGAGTCTTTTTGGATTTCCCCATTGAAAATTTTTGGCTTTTATCATAGAGTCTCTGCAAAAGAAAGTTGAACCTTGCAAGAAGAAGACAGATCCATCCAGTGACAACTTGGAACTGAAAGTGGGGATACTTTATTTTTATTTTTTTACTTTTGTTATTCATTTAATTTTATGAGTGTTATGGTTTGTGTATGCGGTTTCCTCCAAAAGCTTCTGTGTCAATGCAGAATTTTTGGAGGTGAAACAATTGCATGATAAGAGCTTTAGTCAAATCAATCCATCTTAATTTGAACAGACTAGGTGATAACTGTTGGCAGATGGGGCATGGCTGGAGGAGGAGGCTCACTGGAGGCATATCCTGGAAGGGTTTGTCTTTCCTACCGCTTTTTCCCCCTCCCTCTCATTTCTACTCAGCAGTTTCCTTCTACCACACCCTTCCACCATGAGGTCCTGCCTTACGTTGGGCCCAGAGCAATAGAGTTGGCCCAGCATGGACTAAACCTCTGAAACCCTGAGCAAAATAACTCTTTTCACCATTTCTGGGGGCTACATTATAAGTTGTTTTTGTCAGGTATTTTGGTCGCAGCAACAAAAAACTGACTTAATGAAGTGGGGATAGGTAATATATGTTGTCTTCAGTTCTTTTTTTGGTCAGATTTTTTGGATAACAGAAAATTTTCTTAATAGCTTCCTAGAGGTGTCTGGGTTTGTCTTTTTTCTATAACAATAACCAATCAGGGACAGATTCCTGGTAATTGGGCAACCTGTGAACATCTGTCTCTAGTGCAGTATCTCCAATTAGATGTTTATGAGAAAAATGCTATTAAAACACAGATGAAAGGGCACAGCAATGACCCCCCTTTCCATTACTCTTTCAATGAGTGGCAAGATGGAGAGAGTGCTTAACTTGCTACTAGCTTATGTCTAAGCAGAGCCAAAGATAGGGGGAAATCTGAAGTCAAAACCCCGAGTCCATTGTAAATAGATCAAGAAAACCAAAGGATACATTGGCATAGAAAATAAACATGAGCCCTTTCTGGGGGCTGCATTATAAGCAAGGCAAGTGATCGTTCCATAGTAAATGTGTCGAGAGGTTAATGGACAGAGGGTTCTCGGATGAGTAATAGGTTCCAGTGGTATCTCATAAAATAAGCTTCTCTTTCCCTTTGGCACTGAGGCTAAAAATAGTGTTTTTCTGGGGTGCGGGGGTGGAACTGCTAATTCACCAGGTGAAAAGCCAATGTGTTTGCATGATAAGAAAGCAAAGCTTAAATCCCAATTTTTCTCATCACAGTGCTTATTTTTATATGGCTATTAATGCTAATATTCTATCCTCAAACCCTGGCCAGCATAGACAAAAGTATGAGCCCCCTTCTTCATATGGTGTCCATATCTTAATGCCTGAACTCAGTGAATATGTGATCTTACATGTCAAAAGGGATTTTGCAGTTATAATTTAGTTAAGGATCTCGGTAATATTGAGATAGATAGATCATCCTCAATGCTGGGCATGATGTAATCACAAGGATTCTTATGAACAAGATATAGAAGACAAGCTTGAGAAATGGAGATGTGATGATGCAGGGGGAGAGGTCAAGGTGAGAGAGAGAGAAAGATATTACATTAGTGGCTTAGAGCATGCAGGAAGGGGCCACCAGATGAAGAGTGAATGTAAGTGGTCTCTAGAAGTTGGAAAAAGTGAGCCAGAAAAAATGCAACTCTGTTTTATTCCTTAGTTTTATCCCAGTGAGACTGACCTAGAATGTTTGATCTCTAGGACTGTAAGATAATAAATATGTCATTAATCCAACAGATTTGTGGTAACTTGTTATAGTGGGAAATTATTCCAAAAGCGAATACCTTCTTACAGCTGCTGGAGTTTCTTGTTTTTTCTTCTCAGACCTCCACAAGATATTGAACCAGTCAAATATTTACTCCTAGATATAATTTTTTTTACTATAAGCTACCCCCGCCACCTCATGAACTGGCTGAACAAGAAAAAATGTGATGATTCCCTTTATTGTGTTTTGCTTGTGCTAAAATGATTTCTGTGGAGTTAGCAATCAGTTTTCTCACTTGAGTCTGACCCAGGCCCCTCTTCTCAGAGGTCAAAGACAATATCTACATACCACGTAAATGTCCTCCAAAATTCCTGTGTTGGAAACTCAACTCCTGGGCCACAGTGTTGGGAGGTGGGGCCTCATGATTGGCCAAAGCACTCTTGCGTGGATCAATGACAGTATGGGAAGGGCTTGTGGGGATGAGTTTATTCTCCTCCTGTACCACAATAAGACAAAGCATTCTTTCTCTTCAAAGGATGCATCAATAAGACACCAGCTGAACTTTCTGCACCTTGATCTTAGACTTTCCAACCTCCAGAACTGCAGAAATAAATTTCTGTTCTTTTCAAGTTACCCAGTCTGTGGGAAGACACCATCAATGTTGATTATACCTGCACAAATAAGAAAGATGGGAATCAACATTCTGTGGTACCAAAGTCTCCCAGGAGCCCCAAAGCTCTTGGTGATTTAGGTCAGGACAGGGTTCAGAATGCCATTTAATTTTCCCACCAAAAATCTACAGCTAAGAGGTATGCTGGAAGGAAATATTTTTCCTTTTCTCCTCTCCCCTCCCTTTTCCTCTTCTTCCTTTCAGAGTATGATTCTTTTATCCCTTCTACCAAAATTTTGTGTCCTTGCCTTGTGCTATCCTGTTGCTATCTTCTGAGAAATCGAAGCTAAATATCAGGATGTGAGCCCTTCTCTCCTAATTTCATTGAGAACAAGTGCTATTGTGTTTTCAGTGTGGCAAGGAAGAGGCTCAATAAATATGTGTTGAACAGTGCCCCGATTCCACTTATGTTAATGGATTTCTTCGTACCCTGCAGTCTTGTAAATCCTCAGCCTGTCAGAGTGTAAAGATTGTTTTGAGAGACAAGTTTGTTGCCCTGATATCCCCTTGAAGGGAACTGACTGCTCACCAAGCTCAAGGTCTGTTGGAAAGGGACCATGAGCATTCACTAAGCATCTTCTGCATTCTGCATCTTGGGCTTATATGACCTCACTTAAACTTTGCAACAACCCTGCACATGTTATTCTCTCCATTTTAGAGATAAAAGAAACTGAAGCTCAGTCACACTAACAGAGACACCAGCACTCTTTCTGTCCCACTACACTGAGGAGAATGCATGCATTTTAAGGAGAAATGGGATGTAACACAAATTGATACTCTTTCTTGGCAGTTAAAAGTAGGTTAATAAGGAAAAAAAACTCCAGCAAACACTGTTGTGTGAAAGTTTCCTTGAGACTTAGCATTATCTATCACAAGAGTGGTATTTCACTAGGATTATGAGTAAGATCTAAACTGAGTCTGAGGAAGGCAATACTTTCAGGCCATAAAGCCAGCTCTGAGCTTTTAACCCCACCTCCTTTCTGGGTCATGCCATAAATAGAGCTATTTCAAACCCCATTGCTATCATTGGTTCTTTTAGAGAAGAACAGTTTGACAGATGCATTTTATAAAAACAATAAACACCATGGTAAGTTTAAAAAATTTAAAGCATTCAGAAGCACAGAATGATTATTTTTATTTCTTGTTTCTCCTCCCTTTATTTTAATACTTTAGTCTTTGGAGGAGTTCCCTAAACTCTTTCAGCAAGAGAACAATTAATAATTTATCTAATATTTCTACTATTATTCTTTACTGTAGTTTTGCATTGTATGTGATCTGTGATTTTAAATCTGGAAAGATTTGCACAACACTGAGTTAAGGTGAAGGGTGATTTTTTGCAAGTTAAATGGACATGAGAGACAAAGTTCATTGTTAAAATTGCTTTCTTGACAAAGGTACAATTACAGATCGTTCCTCACAGTGGTTCACCTGAATGATTGTTCAGTTATATGATGGTATGAAAGTGATAAGCATTCAGTAAAATTGTCCATTAATTTTGAATTTGGATCTTTTCCAGTGCTATGGTTTAATGCTCTTTCATGATACTGGTCAGTGGCAGTCAACTGCATCTTCCAGTCAATCAATCCCAGGATCATAAGGATAACAACCATATATTAGTCAGCTTTTTATCTCTGTGACCTGACAAGAACAAGTTGTAGGAGGTAAAGTTTATTTGGGGCTCGTAGTTTCAGAGGTTCATACCATGGTGTGTGTTGGGGAAGGCTCCATTGCTCTGTGCCTGAGGTGAAGCAGAACATCATGGTGGAAGAGTTGGTGGAGGAAAGCTCTTCCGTTGATGAAAGCCAGGAAGCAGAACGAGGGGTAGAGATGAAGGAGCCAGGGGGACAAGATATAATCCTTAAGGGCAGACCCACAGTGACCTACTTCCTCCAGCTACCACCCAGTTCAGTAGTCCTTTCAAATTAATTCACCAAATGGATTAATCCACAGATGAGATCACAGCCCTCGTAATCTAATCATTTCATCTCAATATTCTTACACTAACACAGGAGCTTTGGGGTGGGGGAACTTATATCCAACATTCTACAGTATGTTCTATTGCTAAGCTAGGATGTTCCATAGATTAGGTGTATTATATGTATTTTTAACCTACAACATTTTATATTTTCAATGGTTTCATTTGAATGTAACTCCTTAATAAACTGAGGAGTATTTGCATTGACAAAGCTCTTCATGAATAACTAAAGTTGTATGACAAGATAGAGATATTATAGAAATGTTCTCTTTCTGAAGGAAAGGTGCCTAGTAAGCAATCCTCAACAATAGAAAAAATTAGTCCATGTGAATTATTTGTATGGAAGTTTGAGAATGTAACGATATCACACACAGTTCAAAATTTGGCTTTTTAATTTTTGTTTGCGACTTCTCAAGTATTTTGATTTCTTTAAAAATAACAATTAAAAAAAAAACCCTGGTACTTGAACCAGAGTGTTATGAGTATTAAGAGTATTTTTTCCTCTCAATTCTGGGAAAGTATTTTAAAAGTAAGAATTAGCTAATTATAATTGGCATTCAAAACATTTAAAATTATCTAGAAGTTTTACTGAACTAGTTCTTATTTGGTTAGTATACTTAAAATATAAACAAATTTAATATTAGGTGCTAATAAGTGCACTTATTAAGTGCACTGAAGAAAATCATGATAGATTTAGTCCATGGGTGATTACTTTCTAATTCATACAATGCTCAAATAGCATTCCTTACAAGATTACTAGGGAACTTAAGGGTTGACAATTGATGTTTACTTTCCTAACTAGTTTTTAAAAGTCTTAAACAAACAAAACAGTCCTTACTTATAGTCATAGGAAAATTAATTGCCTGACTTAAAAATTGTGGTATATGACCAGTCTCAGGTTTTTAATATATTAATATTTTAATGTTGGCATTTTGTGCCTTTCAAGCCATGTTTTTGGATATAATGGTATTATAAGAACTGCAGGAGAATAAATCTGGCAGTTGTGCATAAATGGATTAGAGGAAGTGATATAGACAGTAGGAAGATCATTTAGGAAACTGTTGAGTTGTCCAGGGCAGAAATAATGAGAACCGTGTCATAGCCAGCAGTGGAATGTACAGAAGATGGATGGGAGCAGGGCTCCTGAGTCAGAACCACTGTGGTTTGCGATTGATGGTTAGGTTGGAGGTGACCAAGCAGGAGGTACTGTTGATAAATTCCATTCTTCTCAGGGAGCCAGAACAATCTAGTGTCTAAGAACCTGGCCTTTGAAATCAAACTAGTGTGTGTCGGCTAATCACTTGAGGTCTTCATAGTAAAGCTGCAGTAGTAATAATGTTTAAAGACTGAAGGAAATGTGGCTGTAAAATACTAGTGCAGTGTCTGGCAACTGGTCACTGTTTGTTGTCTCAGAAGGGTATTGTATTAGTCACCACAGGATAAAAGATACCAGATCCTTATCAAATTTATTTCATGCATTCACTTATTTGTAATAGGATAAAACAGGCTGCCTTTCCTCTAAATGAGAATTGCACATGAATATTTTAATCCTTAATGCTATTTATATTATACTATATAATTGGAATCTTGTCACAAGGCCCTTCCCCAGGAAGGTGAATGAAAGTAGCATATGGAGGGTCTGAAGGGCTACGGTCTCTGAGGTACAGAAGACTTCCTTTTTAGACAGTTGAATATATTAAATAGACCAAAACAGAAACAATAGAAGCATAACTCTGCCAAGTAACAGAGGTCTCACTTGCCATCACAGAGTTGGCAGGGATTTAAGGGAGTCTATTCTAAGAGTAAACCTGTATTCTGGCTCCCAAGATATTTGCTAACATCTTCAGTGTAACAAATTATTTTAACCACATGTGTTCTGTGAAAGTTAAAATAATATTTTTGGTTCATTACCAGTAAAGGAAGGTACGTTATTGGGTGGCAAACCATTGTTTGCCAAACAGAAAGAGACAGTAATTCATAAAAGTCAAGCCAAACCTCTGGAAATTCAAACCAAGCAAATAAAAAGTATCAGAGATAAAATAGAACTTTTGGGAGGTGAGCTGTGTTCCCTTTTACAGATCAAGAAAATGAAGTTTAGTGGTCACACTAATAGCTTATATTGAGGTATTCAATCTTTGGTCCTAGAGACGTGAACAAAGCTACTGAAGATCATGGGTAACACTTTAGAAAAATGTGGAGGAAGCATAAACCTGCACAAATTTTTTCCATTATTTATATTTAAATGAGGTGATAAATGGAAAAGGTATTTTAAAAATACATCCTAGGAAGATGATTGAAGTGGTGTTAGTATCTGATGCTGGATTTTCCCTGGTCTGTAACCTAGATGCATAATTGTTTTACTTCCTATTCTCATGTCTCATACCATAGTGTAATAATAAATAAACATTGCAAGGTTTGGGGTGTGTGTGTGTGTTATTTTTTTATTTTTATTTTTTGCAGTGACCAAAATATCTGATGAGAAAGTTTTTGGGGGCTCATGGTTTCTGAGGTTCAGTACATGGTGGGCTGATTCCATTGCTCTGAGCCCAAGATGAGGCAGAACATCATGGTGGAAGGGCCTGGCAGAGGAAAGCTACCCAGTTCATGGCATCAGGGAAGCAAAGAATAAGATAGAGAAGCAAAGGATGAGATAAAGTCAAAGGGCATGCCCCCAGAGAGAGACCTACTTTCTCCTCTATGCCCCACCTGTCTAAGGTTACCACTAAGTAGTCCTTTCAAATTATTAATCCATCAAATGAATTGATCTACTGATAAAGCTATAGTTCTCATAGTCCAGTCTTTTCTCTTGTGAATATTGTTACATTACCTAATATATGAGCTTTTAGGGGACATTTTTAGATCCATATAATAACTGTACAACTGAAAACAAGTGATGTTTTATTTCATTGTAAACTTTTGTAACTAGAAAAGAAATGCCTAGATAGAAAAGTACTTTCAGAAAATTTTTCATTTTTGAAAATGTATTACTTTTTACTTCTATAGGAGGGTACAGCAAGATGTGAAGG